CTAACTTTTGCTTTAAATGGGGAGCCATCATATTGTCTCGAGATAGGTATCTGGGCTTGACTTTGGGCCTCGGGAAAAATCTCCTTTATTGAGCTCTTTTGGGCTTTTTCCCCTTGATGTTCAAAGTTAAATATTAACCCAAACACTTTGCTCGCATGCTTGTTGCTTTCATAAATTCAGGCCCCAATAATTTGCTGGATTTATTCTCGCAATAGTTTGGGTAACAAAGCCATCCCGACCGTTGCACCAACTGTGGCTTCTTGCTAATGAACACCGCATCCAATTCCTTTGGTTTGGCACGGGTTTTAAATGGGTGAAGACCCCACTTTAACATATGTATACTTTTTTATTGTCATTTTTTTTGTTTTGTTTTGTTTTTTTTTTTTGACACGTTTTTATGCAGGTGACAATGTTTGTGGAAGTTTGCTCTGTTCCCTTGTGTTTTGCCACTCGAGCCCGCATGTTGTCTTCAAGTGCAGTTTCTAATAGTTGGTAACGGTTTTCTGTGAGTTTGCAATTAGTAGCGGCTTCCTGCAAGTTTCTGCAGTTAGTGCCGGCTTCTTACAAGTTTCTGCAATTAGTGGTGGCTTTCTGCAAGTTTCTGCATTTAGTGGTTGTTTCTTGCAAGTTTTTGCAATTAGTGGCGACTTCTAGCATTGGTTCTACGACGCATGTTGCTGCTATTGCAAGGGAGGTTGCTCGCTGCAGAGGACTTGCTGTAATCAAGGCTTCTCGCTGCAAGGGAGTGTGATCACCACAAGGTAGTGTGATCATCACAAAGGAGTGCTACTCATTGCAATAGAGGTGTGCTCGCCACAAAGGAGTGATCGCCGCTATGACGACAAGTCGTGATGTCGTTGTGATGACAAGTTGTGATGTCATTATGAAGATAAGTTGTGATGCCGCTGTGACAACCACTGTTGTAGGTGTCGCTTCTACGCTCGCATTGCCTCTAGGACAACACTGCCTCTGATGCACATTGCGTTTGTGGTCGCACCATCTTCGGGAATCTCTGTTTCACATTGCTCTTGCCGCTTGCTCATTCGTGGCAAACATAAATGCATTGAAAACACTGGAAAACTTGCTTATGATTCAGCTGCACAGCTTCAAAGACTTTGTCTCATAGTGATGGCTTGATCTTGCATCTTTGTCTCAAAGGTTGGAACATTTTTTTTTTTCATTTTTATGTGACTGAACTCGACTTTCATTTTCGAGCTGCCTACATACCCTTTCGAAAAAGAGATCAAGTCATAACGTAGTTCAAATATGTTTGTTTGTTTGTTTGTCTTTTTTTTTTTTTTTTGTCATGACTTCTGCATGAGCCGCCCTTTCGAGTTTTTAACTCAATGGACAGTTTTTTTTTTTGGTGTTGTAGATAGTTTAGGCTCTTGCTGGCCAGAAGCATTTGTTGTCACATTTTATACTCGTGCGGACGTGGAGTTTTGGTGTCGCCTTTTAGGCTTGTGCGGACAAGGAGCTTTGGTTGTTGTCTTTTAAGCTCGTGCGAACAAGGAACTTTGGTTGTCACCTTTTAGGCTCGTGCGAATGAAGAACTTTGGTTGTCGCCTTTTAGGCTTATGCAAACGAGGAGCATTTGGTGTGAATTTGTCAAGTGATCTTGGAAAGGTGTTCCTCGCAAACTTCATAGCAAGGAGTCTTGACCAATTGATTATTGAAGAAGTCTTCGAGGAAGATCGTGGTGGGGATGGATGATCTTCGTGTCGAAATTTCATCATCTTCAACACTTTCACGTCACTTTGGAGGTTGACGAAAGCTTCCTTGCCTCCTTTTTTATTGGTGAACTTGTGGACAAGACGTATGCTTCTTGCGTTGTTTCTTGGGAATGATAAGAGTACATCCTTCAATTTCGCTTTGCTTGATTGGCATGGTTTTAGAGTATGCCCCCAGCTATCGAGGTGAAAATGTTTAGTCGAAATAGCCAAAAGTGACGGTGGTATGGTTTGACTCTACATCATCAAGATCTAGGTCGATAATTCCTTTTTGGGCCAGCTTCATAATGAAATCTTTCAGCACGAAGCATTTTTCGACCTGATGACTGATGCCGCGGTGGTATTTGCAATATCTTGGGTGGTTTACTCGATTCATTTCTTACGACCGCTTGTACTTGGGCAACTCGATCACTTTCTTGCCCAGCAAATCTTTCAACATGGCAGCCACATTGGTGTCGGGGAATGGATAAGTCTTCTCCTTAAGCTCATTCAAAGTGCGTTTATGCCTCTTTTGGTCATGAAAAGCTTCGGTTTGAATCACCTTGTCTCGTGTAGAGATTTTGACAGGAGCTGTGTTGACCAACATTGCTTCATTGAAAGGCTCCCTCATGGATTTGTCTATTTTCTGCCCAAAAACTTTGTCTTTTCTGTAGTCAACAACCGGTTCTTTCTTCCTATGATGGGCGATGCTCAACTCAATGTCGTGGGCGCAGGTGGACTAACTCCTCGAAGGTACGTGGTTTGATGCCTTGAAAAATGTAGTGTAATCCCCAATGGATGCCTTGTATGCACATCTCGATCGAGGAGATCTCTAGGAGTCTGTCTTTGCAGTTGAGACTTAGGGTGCGTCATCGATTGATGTAATCAACAACTGGCTTATCTTTCCACTGCTTTGTACTTGTGAGCTCCATTATGTTGACAGTGTGACGAGTACTGTAGAAACGATTCAAGAACTCCTACTCCAATTGTTCCCAACTGTTGATGGACTTGGGCTTTATGTTTGTGTACCAATTGAACACATTCCCCTTCAGAAAACGGACAAACTGCTCCGCGAGGTAGTCTCCCTCAGTCCCCGCATTATTGCAAGTCTCAACGAAATGGGCGACGTGCTGCTTTGGGTTCCCTTTTTCGTAAAATTGCATGAACTTTGGTGGTTGGTACCCCGTCGGCATCCGCAATCTATCAATCATCTTGGTGTATGGCTTCGAGTACATTAGTGCATCCCTCGAAATGCTTCCATATTGTGCCTTGATGATATTTATGATCATTTCTTAAAGTTGTTGGATGGAAAGCGAGCCCATTGATGTACCTTTGGACTCTGACTTTTGTTTCCCTCTAGCCTTTCCTGCCTGATGCTCCACTTCCTCGCCAGACTCCTAGTCATTCTAATTCTTCGTTAGGTCAGGACCAGCTCCTTCATCATGTTGTGCCTCCAATCGACTTATGAGTGTAGCGATCTGCACGTCTTTCTCTTTGACTGTCCTTGTCAGTTTCGCGATCGTCTCGTTCATTTGTGCAAGTTGCTCCTCAATGGAGGTGCTAATGGTCATGAAAAAGATTTTCCGAGTCACATTTTTTTGTGGTTTTTTATGGGATTTGACAAATAACATGAAGGATTTTCCAAGTCTTATTGAGTGTTTGAGTGTTTGGGGTTTTGAGTGCTTAAAAGCTTCAGAATTTCAAAGCTTCAGCGTCTCGGTGTTAAATGATTTCTGGACCTTTTTCTTTGTCTTGGAGCCTCTTATTTATAGACTTTCCAAGCCTACAGATGGATTTTGCCTTGATTGTGGGCTTGATTATTTGATGAAAGAACTAGGATTCCTTTGTGGGCCAGTTTGTGATTTGACTACATCAATTAACATTTGATTTAATTCAATTAAAATCAAATAATTCCTTTCCGCCAAGTGTTAACATGTGTCCTTCTTGATGACTCATGTAGCATTGGATAATGAATAGATCATTCTCTTAGTGTTTGAATCTAAATGTAAAAGGGGTTGTATGAGGTGTGAAGCGTAGGAGGTGAGTGATGAAAAAAACAAAACCAAGAAACGAACAATGCAACATAGTGTCTAAATTAAAATGTAAAAAAGCAGAACCAGAAAACGGACACTGCATTGCAGCGTCTGAGTCAAAATGTTAAAAAACAAAACCAATAAATGGACGCTACATTGCAGTGGTTGAATCCAAATGTAAAAATAATATAAAAATAGAACCAGCAAGTGAACACTACATTGCAGTACTTGAATTCTAATGCAAAAATCAGAAGTCGTGCGACGTGTGAGGCTAGGAGTTGTGTGAGAGGGAAAAAAAAATACAGAATCAGGAAATGGACACTGCAACATAGTGTTTAAATTCGTATTGACCTATTCCAAAATATAAAAAGTATGAGAAAGGGGGTGTCATTAAGTGGGTACCAGCAGTAATGACAGATTTTGCATTTTTTGGTTGTCTTAAATGCATTTAAATATTATAATACATAATTGATCTATTTATAATTAACATAAATATTGTTATATTTGGTTCAATAAAATGTTATTGATATATTGTTAATATTATAACTTTTTATTGAATCACACTTTAAAATATATGGCTCATTACTCTACACAAAACAAATCACAGTTTACACAAAGGTTTGTTTTTGTAATTTTAATGAGTTATATGCTCAAACTGTGATTTGAAGATAAATAAGAATGAGTGCTTGAGAAGTTCATTGCGTGATTGTCTATTGTCACATGCTAAATTCATACATGTTATGAAACGTAAACATTTGTATTCTAACATTTAGATTGAAACTGTGTAAATTAGTGTTGTTAACCAATTAACCTCCAACATTTATGGGTTCGTTTGAATATATTTTTAAAATGATATAAAGCGTTTTTAAATAAAATGTTAAAAGCACTTTAAGTGCTTTCTACAAAAAGTATCAGTTATGTGTTTTTTCTAGGAAACACTTTAAGTGCTTTTCAAGGATTTACTAGCATTTTTATTAATGATTGTTTTCAAAATATTTTCACCAAAAACGCTTTCAATTATTTTAAAAGCACATCCAAACAAATTCTATGACTTTTGCAAGTTATGAAAGTAGAAAAGCAAAGGGTAAACCATGAATAAAAAAGAGTTCAAAAGGGTAATGCTAAAGAGACTAAAATTAGAAACAAAATTTGTAAAATAAATTATGTGTCATTAATAGAAATGAACACGTTAAAAATAAAAAAAATAAAAAATAAAAAAGTTAAAAGGATGCTGCGATTGCAAACAACATCAGATAAAAAGAGAGGGCTGCTTTGGAGAGGGAGGGTAAAACTTAAAAAAAAAAGTGTATTACGAAGAAGCAACAATTCGGCCAAAATCAAATCGAAAAGCAAAATCGTAACGAGAAAGAGACACACGGCACCCACAGTGATGAGGGCGATGAAGTATATAAAAAGGGTGACGACGTTTAACACTCCTCAAGGCAAAGGCAAGGGCAAAAGCGCGGTGGACAATCTCCTGAAACTAAGCCGTATTAACGCTCTGTTTGCGCTCTTCTACTTGTTGCACGATGACTTGGAATTTCAATTCCTGATTTGCTTTCGCTAATCTCCAAAATTCCCCCAATTTTCCACATTTTGTGTTTTGTTTTCTTCTTTAATTTTTTTCATCATCTCGATACGATTGCCGACTGCTTCCACCAACCCGGAAGGTCTGCATCTGCGTGCCATTCGCTCTTTCTTGCTTTTTATTTGTTTATTTATAATATTTTCTTGAATAAATTTGAATTGGATCGGATCTTTGGTTACCCTATCGAAGCTGGAAAGAATTATACGACTAATATCTGCATACATGTATAAATCTGTCTGTATTTTGGGTTTTTCTTTTATAAGGAATTACTTGGTAGCATAAATAATTGGATATTGTGTTATTATATGAAGAGAGAATTTCTTTTGAAACTTATAGACAGAAGAGAACCACGCTGGCATCCATGGAAAATGGTTTGCTTTGGCTTTTAATTTAATTTAGTCAAATGGGTTTTATTAGTTTACTTATTTCTCCATCATCTTTTGGTAAAACAGAGCTTTGCTGAAACACTGTGTTTCCTTTAGGATCAGAAGGGACTTTTGCTTGGCTGCTAAGGTGAATTTGGCCCTTTTGGAAAGTACCCCTTTTCCTGTTACTGTACTGGATCTTTTTTTCCTTTCGTTTTAGATTTTAGTTTGGTATTTTACTAATTAAGTTTTTCTCTAAATTGTCTATTGTGTAGTGTAGGTACTTGCCTTCATTTACAATCTACAGTCAAAACATTTCATTTTGTTCCATTAAAGATGAATATTCGCGTCATCTTGAAAACGTAGGAGCATGTAGCTGAATCTGCAAGCTATACAACATACTATATTTCTGATTGCATCATTGACTTCGATTTACAACCATCATAACCCTTTCATCATTTCCTCTTGATGTTAAATGCATGCAATTCGATTTCCTCTTTAAATAGTGGAAGTCAAGTTTTTTATTTCTTCGTGTAGGTACTCTGGTATCTATTTCTTAGTGGTTACCAGTACATTAGATTGATGTGCGATGCAAAGATCACGTAGTGCTCTTTTGAACAGAAGAGCTTTAGCGATCAGCGGAAGGAGCCACTTGTATAAGGTGTCTCTGTCTTTCGTTTTTGTCCTCTGGGGGCTTGTCTTTCTATTCAGCTTATGGTTCAGTTGTGGACACGGATACAAAGGTAACCACTTTTCTAAATACTCTTTATGTTCTTCTGTTGACTCCTCTTAGAAACTGTTACTGAGCATTTGAAATGACTTCTGGAGCTCTAATATGTTGGATCAACATTTTTTGTTGGGTTGCAATACCACTTCTGATGCTTCGAATAATGCAGAATCTATGCTCACTTAATCTTGTTTACCTGAAAATTAGCTCGTAGTTACAGCACATATCAATCTTTCTTTTCTATTTTCCTTTGTTTGGGTATCAACAATTCAGCATAGTAATGTAATATGTTGTCGTGTTGTGTGCTACGTTTCTACTTTGGTTGTTCAGTTAGTCAGCTATGATCTTGGTTGTGATGCACTGAGAAGTCTGTTTCAGTTTCTGGTGCTTCTTTGCTTATAATTTTAAGGCACATCTTAAACAAAGCTGTTGAAAAAACTGATTTATTATGTTGAATATAGTTTGCACATGCAATGTTAAAAGGAACTGTTTAATAGTTTTTGACATTGAATTGAATACATGATTTCATAGACCCAGTCAAATTAGTAGAGGTTCTATGGGCTCAAAATTATGTGCAGAGAGGTGTTTTGTGAGGATTAATTTCCAAATAATAAATCCCCATATAAATAGTTTTGCATTTGAAGAAAGAGTGAGGAAGTTTGGGTTTAAAAATAAAATGTGCTATGTTGGACAAGTTGGAACTTGCAATTCAATATCTGCAAATTTCAGTTGCAAGTCTATTTTTATTTTTATCAAATAGGTAATACGCATGGCCACTTTAATCAAATGAATTGTAGCTAAGGTCGTTTGCTCTTCCACAAAGACAAAGAAGGCTTGGGTTTGAAACCCCATTCCTGCTTAACATCAGTATTTTTGCGCTCAAGGAAATGTTGTGGAAGGTTTCTGCAGATAGCAATTGCATGAATATTCCTGAGATTAGAGGGCTTGCAGTTTTAACAAGCTCTGAGATATTCTGATAAAATTTTAGCTGAAATTCTCTGTGATAAAATAAATAATGGACTGTACCCATTGTGTGGACAAATGAGTTCATTGAAGAATTATTGCCTGTAATTTTTATATTTAAGACATAGTCTGAATGACGATGTTGATTTTATAGCGACAAAACCAGAACATTATTTTTTATAATTGGCGATGCTAGATTAAAATAAGAGAGTGACTCTTATGGCCTTGTATTGATCATACTGTTTTTCGCTCTTACTTTGATATTAATATGGTCAACCATGTGCATGCTTATGAGCTATTTTAGTGGTCAACTATGTGCATGCGTATGAGCTATTTTTCCTATTTTTCTGTTTATTTAGATGGATCCACTGTATCTCCACTTGGTATATCAACTTGGGATGAAGCTAAGCTGGACCGTGATGAACACTATGATTCTGTAAATATACAAAAAGAAACTGATTTTGTCTACTCTTCTGGTGGTGAATGCACAAATGGGATTGAAACTGGTGGTTTAAAGGGTGAGTTATCTGCTATGGAAAGAAGTAAACAGCATGTCTCAGCTGAAGGAAGTAGACAGCATGCCTCAGCTGAAGGAAGTCTACATCATGCCTCAGCTGAAGGAAGTATATTTCATGACTCAGCTGTGGGTGGGCAACCTGAGGTGGTGAACGCTGGTTCAGGTGCAAAATTTGAAAATGATGCTCTAAAGAATCGTCGCTTGCCACGTGCTGTGCCTCTTGGTCTTGATGAATTCAAAAGCAAAACATTTAGTTCCAAAAGTAAATCTGGAAATGGTCAGGCTGAAGGCATAAAACATAGGGTGGAGCCTGGTGGTGCAGAGTACAATTATGCGTCAGCCGCAAAGGGAGCCAAGGTCTTGGCTTTTAACAAGGAAGCTAAGGGTGCCTCTAATATCTTAGGCAAAGACAAAGACAAGTACCTTCGCAATCCATGTTCTGCAGAAGAAAAGTTTGTCGATATAGAGCTTTCCGAAGAAACCTTAGTAGATTCAATTGAAATAGCTAATCTTGAGCACTATTCATCTAATTTAAAAGATTTTGAGGTGCTCGGCAGTTTGGCTTATCCAACTAATGAATGGGTCTTTCTTGGGAATGGTACTGCTGCAAATAATAAACTTGTACAAAGGTTTGTTCTTCAGCAACCCAAGTGGGTGAGATATATTAAGTTGAAACTTTTGAGCCATTATGGTTCAGAATTCTACTGCACGCTTAGTATTATTGAACTCTATGGAGTGGATGCTGTTGAGCGAATGCTTGAGGAGTTGATTTCTGTTGAAGGCGGCTCATTTGTTACTTCAGGAGCAGCAGTTGACCAGAAACCTGTGCCCTCCCACCCGGACTCCCCTGAGGGTGAGGAATTGTATCGTGATATGGTTAAGGAATTGGAACCCCAAGATGCAGCTGGAGGGTCTGAAGTGAATAATAATATGATGAATAGTGAAGTGCCTGATCCTGTCAAAGAAGTTCATCAACAAGTTAATAGGATGCCTGGGGACACTGTTCTAAAAATTTTAATGCAGAAAGTTCGTTCATTAGATTTTAGTTTATCAGTTCTGGAGCGATACCTAGGAGGAATCAACTTCAAAATATGGCAGTATTTTCGGAGAATTTGACAAAGATTTGGGAGAGAGAGATATAGATTTAAAGAAGATCAGAGAAGACATAAGGAATCTTGTTCAAAGCCAGCAAGTCATTGTATGTGAAACTTCTACTTTGTAGAATTTTGACTAGTATTAGATTTATTATGCTTCGTGTTAATATTGGTAGTATCTTTCTTTATTGGTAGCATTATGCATTTTACTTTTCTAATGGTTTATTGTCCTCGCAGGCTAATGATGTTGACAATCTTATATCTTGGCAGTCCCTAGTTACCATGCAATTGGATAATCTAGTCAGGGACAATGCTATCCTCAGGTCAGAATTTTTTTTTCTTGAATATTTCTTTCTGAATCCGTGCAGTGTTGAGCTGACAGAGTAACAGTTTTTATTTAAAAGCCAAAAGTACACAAAATGAACAAGAAGTCCACCAGTACAACCAAGAGAAAACAGAATCAGCCTTACGCTGAAAGAAATACGACAAGACCAAACCTGATCTCCAATCTGATAAAATATTAGAGAAGGAATACTCCTTAAACTCTAAAGCACTACTTGCCCACATGGAAGCCCAAAAATGAACCTTATCCCACAAACAGTCAATTCATCAACAGGCTCATCCTAAGAAATCCACTTGTTTAGCTCTGCCCATAAAACCCACAAGACTGCCATTATAGCACTTCTCTAAAGTTTTCAGAAAACTCTGTTTTGAATCTGTATATATCTTTAGACATTAAACAGTAATTCTTTTAGTTTGAAGTAAATATTCAATGGGAATCAGTCAAGTAATATTCAATGTGAATTAGCCCAAGTAATATTCAATTTAAATTAGTCAAGTAATATTCAGTGTGAATTAGTCTTGAGTGTGATAATTATTTTTGAAGCAAGTTAATTTATATACAAGGAGGAGGCAACCTTGTGTTTGTTTTCAATTGTGTTTTTCACCAAATATATGCAAGTGGAAGCAACCAAAAGAAAAGATTTATATATTATTGCAGATGAGTACTTGTTATGACAGCTAATAAAATTTGTTGTTGATTTTGCAGATCTGAGGTTGAAAGGGTGAGGGAGAAGCAGGCATCTGTAGATAATAAGGGTGTCATAATATTTCTTATATGCATAATTTTTTCATTGTTAGCTCTTGTGAGGCTTTTCACAGAAATGGCAGTTAGTGTTTGTATGATGGCATCGAGTGTTGATACGACGACAGAAAAGTCGAGGAAGTTTTGTTGGACGAGTTCTTCGTCCTGGATTTTTTTGCTTGTGAGCTGTATCCTTGTCCTATTTATATTATCATTATAATCTTTGGAGCTTTTCGGCATTCTTTGCTTGTGTTAATTCCTTTTACTACTTTGTAATGCATCCAACATTACATTTGATACGTGTTGGGTGAGTGTGATTTGTAGGTGAACGTCGATTAGCAACACCAACCAACCCCGCATAGGCGCATAACAGCTTTTCTTTTATGCTTCTTATGGATTACACTGTGTGTGTATGTTGTGTTCCTTTCAAGTGTAAATATAAGGATAGTATAATGGCACACGTAAGGGTGTCAAACCACAGAGATTGATTAGACCTCTACAAATTACTAACTTTATGTGAACCCTAACTAAACAATAAAACTAACAAATTGAGTTTGGATTTTGATTTGAGAAGTAAAGTAACTTAAAATGCAAGAGAATGTAAATATGAATAATAGAATGATGCATAAACGATGGGAATGGAACTAGGGATACTGATTTCACCATTACAAGCCAATTCCATAAAAATTAAGTCAAAGCACATTCAACTCTCCAATTTGCAACTAGGGTTCGTTTTACTCATTTATGATCATCCATTTGATGTGTGGTTGTGATCGAGTACTCCTAATCTGCAACCTAGTTGTGATGTTCAACTTAGATTACCAAATAAGAATCCATTAAGACAAGAAAACTTCAAAGAACCAAAGAAATTACATCGCAGGATGTATGCATAGCAGTTTCTTCATTCATTCACATGTCTACCACGATTAAGCATGATGTGTACTAGAACCTTGATTAAATAATATGTAAGATACCCTAACGATGATCAAACATTAAGATAAACAAACAAATTGAACTATAAAATCAGTGAATGAAACAAGAAAACAGATTGATGACTCGAATACTTTAACTTATAACATAGAATAGTTTTGCAAGGCCACATCGAAATCCCCAGCTATGAACTTAATTACACAAAGACACCATACGCAAATGCCAAAGATAGAATTCGCCTCAACTCTAGTCTTCACAGATATCACTCAAATTTTCACTTAGATCCTAAGGTGTAGTCTCTCCACAAATACATGTGAGTGAAATTATGTAAAAAGGATTAAAAAATTCTCACATCTGAAATATGAAATAAAAGCATGATTTCTGAATAGATCTCATGAAATGAATTAGATACTAAGAATATGGATATCACACGTACTTACCAGTACCTATGAATACATCCCCAAAGATTCACAAGGTTGTAATGTAAGGCTTAGGCTATGGGCTATGAAAGAAAGGATAGGAAATACTAGAGCTTGGGACATACCAAAGTGACTTTGTTATCTATATGTGTCTTCATCACTTTAGTATTCCCCAAACTATAAGGTATGATTGTAATGGGCTAAGATGGGTAGAGTTAGGTGTGGGTGATGAAAGAACTAGGCTAAAAGTGTTTGGCTACAACACGGGTGAATGGAGCACACAAAGGGATGGAAATTAGGCCTTTAGTGGTTAAAACATGCATAGCCTAACATCATCTCAATGAGTTCATTCATAGGTGATAATAAACACATGATATCTGCAACATAGGATTATTCTTAGCATTCAATCAAAGAGAAATAATGAGATCATTTGAAGTGAGTCTAAAAGAAAAAGATAGGAATAGAAACACTTTGAACCCTCTCAAAGAAGCAAATAGGCTCAAAATAGCTCACTAGGGTAGTCTCCACTATTCTTCTTCCAAAATTTGCGCATGGTACTTTAACCATAATAATTCCAAGAGTAACAACTTTGTAAAAGAAAATAAGATACAAAACTTTTTCTTGACAACACTATAGTTTTGTTTGTAACATAGCCCTCATATACATTCACATTAGTAAGCAAAAGCAAACTTAACCAAAACTAAAAACAAATGAAAATTTTCAATCCCACACCCCAAACCTAAACTAAACATTGTCCTTGATGCTTAAAAATGAATGGAATGCATGCAGTGCAAATAGGCAGAGTGTGTGGAATGGAGATAAAATAAAACTAAAAGACACAAATAAAAGGAAAGAACACAAACCCAGCTAGGTTGCCTCCTAGCGAGCGCTTTATTTAACGTCTAGGCAAGACGCAATGAGTATGATGGATGCACCTAGGGTGGCAGGAAGTCAAGGTACCTTCGAACCTTGGTCGGAAGAAGTGGTTTCTTTCTAGGGACTTTGAATATGGGAATTTCTACAAGGACTTGATTGTGATGGCGTTTTTGTCTCTCCTTGTGAATAAAATGCAAGACCATATCCTCTTCCTTTGTTTGAGATGGCAGCAAGGTCTCGTTATCGAACTTCAATTCTTTTCCCTCTTGAAATGGCAGCAAATCATCTTCCAAATACTCCAAATATGGCACATGAAAAGATGTAAAACAACATGGAGAATCTGATACAGATTTTGAAAAACAATCAATTGAATTAGAAGATAGAGGAAGAGCTTCAAACACTATGTCCGGCAGAGTTTCACCAAGCACATCTATGGGTGGCCCATCATGTTGTTGTTTGACAAATCTCCCTGGAAAAGGAATTGGTGGAACATATGGCTTGGGAGGAATGTAAGGTTCTTCATCTTCATAAAGCTCAGGAACCTCACTATGAAAATATGCACATCAAGCTTCCTTTGGTTGTTCATTCTCCTCTTGATCATCACCACCAGATTGATGTTCATTTAACGCTTGGACAATCTGCCCCAATTGAATTTCCAACTTGGTAAGTGCAGTGGAGTGTTCTTGAATCATGCTACTTGTTGATTGTTGAAATTGGAAAGTGCTTCGAGCAAATAGCTTCAAAGTGTCCTCCAAAGTAGTGTCAAAAGATTCCTGCTGTGATGGAGGTGCAAATACTTGATTTGGAGCATCTATGTTGTTCCAAGAGCCATGATCAGAGTTCCTCCAGGGCTATTTGTGTTTGACAATGGTTGCAGTGGCTCTTGGTTAGAGAAACACATGCGGTGTGAGTGCTCTCGAACAAATGTAGGAAACTCATCTCTCTTTGGGCAGAATTGAAGAGGATGACTAGTTTTAGCACATAACGGACATTCACCGTACATCTCTCTATACCACCTGAAATCAAACAACATAAATTGTAAATTAAAAATCTAAACTAAGAAAAGAAAAACAGATAGGTTTATAAAGCAAGCAATTATAGGGGAGTGAAATCAGTCCTCGACAATGGCGCCAAAATTTTTTTGTGTTCCTTTCAAGTGCAAATATAAGGATAGTATAATGGCACAAGTAAGGGCGTCGAACCACAGGAACTGATTAGACCTCTACAAATTACTGGCTTTATGTGAACCCTAACTAAACAATGAAACTAACAAATTGAGTTTGAATTTTGATTTGAGAAGTAAAGTAACTTAAAATGCAAGAGAATGTAAATATGAATAATAGAATGATGCATAAACGATGGGAATGGAACTAGGGATACTGGTTTCACCATTACAAGCCAATTCCATAAAAATTAAGTCAAAACACATTCAACTTCCCAATCTGCAATAGGGTTCGTTTTACTCATTTATGATCATCCATTTGATGTGTAATTGTGATCAAGTACTCCTAATCTGCAACCTAGTTGTGATGTTCAACTTAGATTACCAAATAAGAATCCATTAAGAACAAGAAAACTTCAAAGAACCAAAGAAATCACATCTCAGGATGTATGCATAGCAGTTTCTTCATTCATTCACATGTCTACCAAGATTAAGCATGATGTGTACTAGAACCTTGATCAAATAATTTGTAAGATACCCTAATGGTGATCAAACATTACAATAAACAAACAAATTGAACTATAAAATCAGTGAATGAAATAAGAAAACTGATTGATGAATCGAATACTTTAACTTAATAACGTAGAATAGATTTGCAAGGCTACATCAAAATCCCTAGCTATAAACTTAATTACACAACATGATTACAGAATATATAAATATCAAGAACAACATGAGTGAAATTAAATTCATAGAAGAAACCCCCTTGAAACAATTCTGACGTTGAACTTCTCCAAGAACAACGCGGCTGCGTGGTTTCTTTGGTGGTAGCAGATGGTGAAGGAAAATAGGGTTTTGTTTCTGAAAGAAAGGCCAAAGAAGCAGAAGAGAGAGAGAGAGCTATGGGTGACCCCAATGGGGGCTTGTATAAAAGTGATCTGAAACCCCTAGTATTTATATGCTAAATGGGGCTACAAGATATTCCAAAGTGATCCTAGCAACTAAGCCTTTATTTTGCACGTTTTAGCCTTATTTGGCACCTCCAAATCAGGCTAGATATCCCAATTCCTTTCCCATTATGTTCCTGGTCTTCTAACAAGCCAGATTCGTCTTGGATTCTTTATTTGGGCTTCAAAACAGGCCACTAAACTTATTTCCATGTTTGAATAAGGGTCAACCCCAAAAATGGCATGTTTTCACTTTTTTTGCCTTTAATTTGATCCTAAAGTACATGTAACTGCACACTAACACAAAATAAGGTAAAATGCAACCAGTTTAACTCAAAAACATCACAAAGAGACTAGAAATAGATGATATAAATGCATGAAATATATAAGTCATCATGTATAATTTGTTGGGAAAGAGGAGGAGGTTATAACATCTCCTCGGTCAAATAGTTTAATTGCAAAATAAATAGGGTTGTTTACATAATCACCTACTCAGTCGGGCAACGCCGCTGTGGGTATGGGCTTAGCACTAGGGAATTAGACTGGTGTAGACGATTTTTCTAATTTAATTAAATTTATAATAATATATAAATAAGTGTTTACTTGTACTTAGAAAAAAAAATACATAACTGTATTGGAAAACATAAAATGCTACCTTGCTTAGACCTTCTTAGAATCACCCAGCCCCCGTCTAGACCTTCTTAGGCCTACCTAACTTGTTTATGTCCACCTAGGTGGGCATATAGGCGGCATTGGCGCTTAGGCAAGTTGGTGACGTCATTTTATATTTTTAAATGCCTATAGATTAATCGTGACGGTGGCCAACTGCTTAGCTTCTAAGGAGGTTCTTTTAGAATGCGGGCTTAGACACACAAAAGTTAACTCTCTAATTATGGAGTCCTATT